CATGTATATGTACATGTACATGTAGATGTAGATGTAGATGTAGATGTATATGTATATGTATATGTATATGTATATGTATATTTACACACACTTACTACGTCCCTATTTTTCAATCTCCCATGAGTCTTACTTCAAGGTTCAGCGAGGTCCATCGAGTTTCAACAAGGGCAAGGGCATGTTTCAAGAAAAGCTTGACCGCATCTGCGATCCGAGACGATGCAGCCCAGTTCTTAGGTATGGGTTATTCCTCTGCAGCCGGCATGACGTGGGACCCCTGCTTCACGCAAGTCCCATATTGGCAGGTTTGTCTCCTTCGCCGCCCACTTCACCGCACAGCTGCTTTGCTGAGAGAGGTAACAGGGAAGTGGAGCAGGCAGTGTATCTCTATCTATCGAGTATAAGAATGACGCATTGCATCTTTCTCCAGACCTCAAATCTTAAACGGCCTGGACGTACACCGTCGAGTTTGCCGACACTTCCATATCGAGCCTGTTTCCTAGGTGGACGACCTCGAGGATCAGTTAGAAGATCGCCACGACCCTGGCTTCCAGGGATCCCCGGCTCCGGCACTCTTTGCTCCGGCTGGCGAGGCCAAGAGCAGCCGAAGTCAAGAGCCTGAGTACAGAGAAGCTAGGGGTCATTCTCCGAAGACGGAGAGGCCCAGGGCTTGTCAGAGACATGCTAAGGCTGATCCTCAGTTCCACAGTTCCTTACTGTACCGCTTGCAAGCGAAGATGATTTGGCAGACACTCCGGATCCATCCGATCGAAATCAAGAGAATGATGATGAGAAGGACCGGCATGATGTGGAAGAGCAGCCCAGTGGCTCGTCCCTGCGGCTGTTGAGTCTTTCTTTGTCAGTCCGGCGACCTTGGGATGGCGATGACCAAAGCCAAGACGGACATGTCAAGGCTCACGGCCGTTGGGGAAGTTCGGCATTCCAAGCCTACGACGGAACCAACGTCGTTCCAGGTCTTGTCACAATGATGACCAGCCGGAGGTAGAGGCACCGACAGCGATGGTTCGCTCTGCAAGACGCAAGACCCAAGCGTTTCAGATGGTAATTACTGTACTGTATCAGCACTGGTACGTTACCTAGTGACTGTGCGAATGGTCGATGTCGCACCGGTCTCCCAGTGATACCACAGGATTGCAACAGTTTGTAGATCTCAGTTGTCAGGTAAGAAAGATGCCGAGCAAGCAGGAGCAGCTGGTTTCCAGGCTGCTTCACTCCGACGAGCAGGAGGCAAAGCGGATTGAGTCCAGGAATGAGATGGCCACGTCGCTGATGGGCCGTTTTGGGGACTGTGCAGGCTGCTCGCCTGAAGGCATGGCGATGCATGCTGCGTTGTTGAGCTCAGTGCTTGTAGCCCGGTCGAGGCAGCTCCCGTAACCAGAAGAAGAGGCTAGATGGGTGCCGCCGGTCACAGGAATTGCAGGCAATCTTCTTCTCATTCCCTACTGCATGTCTGAGCGGAGCGCACGATATTTCGCGGAGGCCCTCTTAAACTCCATGGAAGACCAAGATGGAACGACGGCCGTGGGGGATGAAGTGCCTCATGACGCCGGCGGCTGAGATCACCTGCTTGTCCGCGGTATGATCCGACGCAGTCACCGAGGAGCAGTACTAGTACCCACCAGTTGCTGTTTGTCGTTAACACAGTGTTGACTTTGTCCTTGCTACTACGGCTGGTGGTCTTGTTCTAGTGATGATAAGTTCACATGGCCATGGACATTGATTGTAGCTCGGTTTTTGCTGTCTTGTTGCTACTTCGCTGCTGCCGCTGCCGCTGCCGCTGCCGCTGCCGCTGCTGCTGGTGCTGGTGGAGCTGGTTTTGGTGGTGCAGTGGTGGTGTTGTCGCTGTTGCTGTCATCGCCGTTGTTCATTTGTCGTCGTCGTCGCGGCTGCGTAGCTGTGGTTTTGGTTGCGTTGTCGTTGTGGAAGTAGTTGTGTTTGCGGTTGTTGTTGGTGCTGTTGCGGTGCCAACACCACCATCACAGCAACCACCACCACCACCGCCGCCGCCACCACCACCACCACCACCACAAACACCGCGACAACCACAAACAACAAATAGCGACCAAGAAACAAGAATCAATAACCAAGCATGAACAACAACAGCAGCAGCAGCAACAACAGCCGCGACACAACAGCAACACAACAGCAACAGCAGCACCGGCATCGGCACCGGCACCAGCACAAGCAGCAGGGGCAGCAGCAGCAGCAGCCGCCGCAGCCACAGCAGCAGCAGCAGCAGCAGCAGCAGCAGCAGCAGCAACAACAGCAACAACAGCGACAACAGCGACAACAGCGACAGCAGCAGCAAGCAAAAGCAGCAGCAACAGCAACAGCAACCACAGCAACAGCCAACAGCAACAGCCAACAGCAACGGCAAGAGCAACAGCACCCGCACCAGCAACGGCGCTGCTGCAGCTGCAGCAGCAGCAGCAGCAGCAGCAGCAGCAGCAGCAGCCGCAGCCGCAGCCGCAACAACTGCAGCAGCAAAAGCAGCAACAACAACAACAACAACGACAGCCGCAGCCGCAGCAGCAACAGCAGCAGCAGCAGCAGCAGCAGGAACAACAATAACATGCAAAACGACCTCAACGATCACACTGACCACTAGCGCCAGCACCAACCACGACGACAAGGACGACAACAACAGCAATGACCACAGCAACATCACCGACTAGCAGCTGGTCGGGAACCGCAGCACAACAGCACTCATCACCCGAATCATTTAGCAAATTAACAAGCGGTGATAGTGATTCCAAGACAAACTCGAGTGATTTGCTTGGTTGCGTTCAGCGTGAGCCCACAATGGAACTAGAGAACCTACAGTGCACAATATACGTATAGTACATAATGCAGTTTCTATCGTATTAGTATACAGTATATAGTATATCGTATATAGTATGTAGTATATGATATATGGTCCATATGATGTATAGTGTTTGGTGGTGTATGGTATATGGTATGTAGTATAGAGTTAGTATAGAGTAGATAGTACATCGTATATAGTAGTAACCAGGATTCGGGAATGGACCATGCGCAGAACAAGGAGGATAACTACTGGAGTGCGATGTGGCACATGACGAAAGATATGCCCCGAGCTGAGTTTGAGGCAGTGCATTCTTGTCCTGTGGACTGGTGATCATCTAGCTCTGACACTTAGTACCAGGACTAACCTAGACTCTGCTGTACCTTTGTTGCAAGGATGAATACCAAAGGCGATCCGAAGGAGGCTCCCGACGAGCAGAGTCCGTGAGCGCATTCGGATGGCCGTGGCTGTGCGCCAGGACGAGCAAGTGCCGACAATTGAGATCTCAGAACCTCGCCTCGAGATCCTTCTCGGGCCACCTGCCAGCACCCTGATGTGTGTCGCAGGACGCGGACAGACCATCCAAGAACTTAACGAGTTTTTACCTGGCATGACCTAAGAGGAGCATTCCTTGTGCGAAGATCCCAGCTCTGGAGCTATGACGTAGGATTCTTTCGAGAAGTTTCAATTGAAGTCTCATATGCGGCATCGTGCGACAGCCATATCCAATCCACCGGTCTTTCGATAGAACATAAAGGATTCAGCGTGTCGTTGCAGACGAATCACTATGTAAGTACCTTCGTCTTGGATCGCCAGAACGAGGCTCTAGCGCTCCGAAGCGGCGTGTTCCTCCTTCACAGTGACTCTACCTTGCCGGTTTTTCCTGGCGGGTTCATTTAAACAGCCCGCCAAAAGCACTTTATATCACTTTATCCACGGCCCACGCCCGGCTGAATTGCTGGCGGCCTGTGGCAATTTTTTGGAAAATAACTTTTACCGCGCACACACACGCACACGGACCGGTGGTGGTGAGTGTGTACGTGGTGTGCGCTGACTCAGCTGCAACGGTGCGTATTGGCTTGCCAGCTTTGTTTACGGTGACTCTAAATCTTCCAGATTCCAATATTCCGTGTTGTAACGTCTGCATGTCGCGGCGTCGCTACATGGACAAGGTCATTACGCAACTAAGCGACCGGCCTGAAAATGCCGATTCCTGGCTGCAGAGGCCAACCTCCCCATGATTTCCTTTTAACCGCAAATGCGGCGGTTCTGCCTGTGTTGTGTAGTCTCACGCAAACCACCGGCAGTCCGGGAGCATTGTGTTGATTCTTGTCTGTGGCCTGTCCAAAGGGCAGAGACGCGCCGGACGCCGGCTTGGATTAAAAGGAGGTTTCTCTCATCATCCCGGTTTTGTCAAGCAAGGTAACGGGTAACGGCTGTTCCGTGCATCTAGCTCGTGTGCTGCGCTCACTTTGCCACGCTGGACCAGAGAGAAGTTAGTGGGGTCACACGATCTCCGTTCTGGCATTTGTTGTTGGTAACGCGCCTGCTGTCATCTTGCTGCGCACTCAGGGGCGGCGTTTGCAACTGTCAGGTTCAAATTATCTACGCCATTCTGGATGTTTTTTCATTTTTCCGAGGCGTCGTTGTCATGTCAGCCCCAGAAGAGGACGAGGACTCGCGATAGCACTGTTGTGTCTGCACGATCAGGATTCGCGCGTGTTGAGTCTAGGTGATTGCCCTGAATTGAAAGGAAGTCGCCCAAGACGCTGAGGAGGAAGAGGTCCGGTGACTTGCATAGGGTCACATGTGATGTTAGAAACATAAAGAAATAAACACAAATAGATTAAATAAGTGAATATATATATAGATAGATATACACGCACCAATGAGTGTTTATGTGTGTGTACATATATGTATACATCGGTACATACATGCATACGTATGCATATACAGATGGATGGATGGCTGGATGGATAGATCGATCGATAGATACCGGTGCCTTCGGAAGGACATGGACCAAGAGCAGGAGGAGGCCGAACAAGAGGAGCCGGAAGAGGAGCAAGACGAAGACGATCCGAGCGGTATAGCTGAGGACCGGACACGTGCTGACAGTGTGGAGGGTATTCACACATGGGTAGTTTTGGCTAAATTAGGGGCCCGTCTAGGATCCTGTTTATAAGGGTGCCGTACTATATTGGGGACCTAAAGCGGGACCCTAACTGAGAGAACTACCCACATCTACAGAAGTCCTTGATCTCGACTCTTGGCCTGAGTACATTCCGATTGAAGCATTGCCTCATCCACCCGCAAATCGCTGGCTGCTGGGACTTTGCCGCCTTTCCGGCCATCGCGAATGGCATGTCTATTCTGAATCATGTGCAGAGTCCTACATGTACAAGCTGAAGCTGAGCTGTACTTCTAGACATGCGGATCTCTCAAGAGGCTGCGCCGAAGTCTTCCGGACGCAAGGGACCCGGGCGCCCACGGGGCAAGAGCAAGCCAGTTACCAAGAAAGACCCCTCCAAGGGCAAGAAGGCCGAGTGAGAGTCTCAAGTCTCAAGCTGGCTCCCAAAAGATGCTTGCTCATGTTGCACAGGCACCTGTCCGGACAGAGTACAAAGCAGGGCTTTGCACTACTGGCATGTTGGCCCCTTCGTCCCGTCACGTGAACTAAGTCTGACGAAGCATCCTAAGACAAATCCCCCTTGCCCTTCTCAGAGCTGTTTGTGGTTGCCAGGCTTCCCCGTTGCCAAAGTCAGGAACCTGCTGAGGGAGAGTGGTTATGGCCGTTCCTGGGCAGCATTACGGACCCGTTGTGTGAACCTGTGGTCTTTGTACAAACATCATCGGCGGGCATGGTCCGTGCCCTTGGCAACGAGATGTCGTTGCCATGCATGCCACGCCCGCTTCTTTGAGCTGTCTCGATAGATTTCCCAGCTAAGGTGTTTCCCAAGATGCGTCCACCCCCTACGGCTTCAGCCGAACGGCGTAGATCGGGCACTGTCGGGCACCTGTGCCGAACTGGCTGGCAGGTCAATCTACCTCACCGGCGTCATGGAGTATGTCGTTGCAGAGATTCTGGAGCTGGCTGGCAACACCGTGAAGGCAAGCAGCTAGCAGTCCACGGCCTGCGGTATTTGCTGTTTGTTGCACAGACTGTTTCTACAGAGAAGCCCTCTGGTTTGCGAGGAGCAGAAAAAGCAACGAATCATTCCTCGCAACATCCAGCTGGCGATCCGCAACGATGAGGCACATAGCAATTTGCAAGGGAGAGCCCGAATGCAGCTGGTCTGCAAAGCTGCATCGCGCAGAGCTGTCCTAGTGATAGCAGGTCGAACTAACTCGTGTCGAACTCGTAGGAAAGAAAGCTAGGTTTAGATTTAAGTCTCAGAGAGTCTACGTGTGGTCTACGTGTCCTTTGATCGAGTTGCAAGGAGCTGAACAAGTACATGGCCAATGTGACCATCAAGTCAGGAGGAGTTGGAGCCTTTTCATGCGACGCAAAAACTAAGACGACTCCTTTCGACTTCGCCTCCCAGGTCATTCCCAACATTCACACCGTGCTTATGCCTCAGAAGACGAGTGCGAAAGGCGCGCCGGCGCATTATTTCTCGGTCCTGCTGTATCGCGCTGTTCTATCCTATCAGAAGTCCTTTGATACCAATCCTGACCAAGCCCATGCCCAAGCCCCACGACGCCAAACACCGCGATCCCAAGCACAGCCTTGATCAAGCCCAGGCACAGTAATTAGCTGAGAAAAATGTGTGTAGAGAGCACTGCCAAGCCAGGCGTCAGCGCTGGCTCCCACTCTCAGGAGTACTGACGACTGCTGGTGCATTTGCCATGCTTCGTAGCGGCAGTAATCATTCGGCAGGCACGGGCCTGAGATCATTGCAGGTGTGGGACGGTGTCACTGTCGGCTGCGCCGTTTGGGGTTCGTACGCGCGTTTACAGTGCCGCGAGCTTGGCACGATCAGCACTATGAATGGCTCGAAAAGCTTCTTGTATTCCAGAATGCTTGCAAGCTGGTCATGACACAGCTCAGGCACCGCACTTCCTGGCAAGGCCCTCCTCCCATCTGAGCTTGCTGAAGCCTAAAGCTGTCAGCCTGTTCCGAGTGTGCGTGAATTAATCGGGCCCCCACCTCCGCCTCCACTCGTAGCATAGTGGAATTCCTATTCATTGGAGTTTTCAGTCGGTGGGCCCCTCGTAGGCGATCGTGCAAAGGACCTGACCTGGCAGTCTTTTCACCTCTCAGCGCAAGACAGTGCGGCCTTGAGCAGTGACGGAGTAAAGCTCCACATGCCAGAAACAGCCAGAAAGCATCGCATTCGGCGTTTGACTCGTTGCTCCAATTCAAGGCGCTGACGGCTTCGACTAGGTGAGCAGCCTTAACTATTGGCACTGCCACCGCCATGCTGCTCAAAGCATAGGAACAATGCTCAAAGCTTAGCAGTTGTAGGATCTGGTTGACTCATGCCACTGCCGGCCGCGTTTCAGACCGACGATGCAGTCATTGCCATGCAGTCACATAGTGTCCAGGCGCTTCCCAGCCCACACGGCTGTGATATACTGATATACATCACATCGCATCACCCAGTCCGGTGTCTAAGGTAGGCCAGCTTGAAAACCTTGGTGGATAGGACAAGTTTTGTTGCCCGCCATGCGCAGACCAACTCCCTCCTTCTGGAGGTCCTGCGCGAGTTTCGGGCGTTTCGGTACCAATTTTGTTGCGGCCCCTTTTCCTAGGAGAAGCCCCTCGGGGGGGCTTGCTGTCCGGTGCTTTTCGACGGAGCAGCTCTGGAGAGGTGTGCGGTCTACGAGCTTCAGTAAGAACCTGGATTTCAAAGACGGGTCAGAAAGCACCTTCCCCGTGTATCGGGTTCTCGATGCCGATGGAGAGCTGGAGCCGGGAGTTGAGCTTCCCTTCTCACTGGAGGAGGGTGTTGACATGATGCGAATGATGCTCAAGTCGAAGGTTTATGATGACGTGCTGATGACAATGCAGCGACAGGGTCGGATTAGCTTTTACTGCACCAACTATGGAGAAGAAGCTACAAGCGTGGGCACAGCTGCGGCTCTGAAGCCTCAAGACATGATCTGGCCCCAATATCGGGAGCTTGGGGCCTTCTTGTGGAGAGGCTTGACAGCGCAAGAGATCGCCGACCAGAACATTGGCAACGAGGGGGATCGGAGCAAGGGCCGGAACTTGCAGGTGCACTATTGCATGCTGGAGAAGAACATGCAGACAGTCCATGCTGTTTTAGGTACTCAAATCCCACAGGCCCCTGGAGCAGGGTATGCATACAAGCTGGATAAGGAGGATCGAGTCTCTGTTGCATACTTCGGTGACGGCGCCGCCTCCGAGGGTGATGCATTTACTGGCCTGAACTTTGCTTCTGTCTATGGCGCGCAGACATTGTTTATCTGCCGCAACAACGGCTACTCTATTTCAACGGGAGTTGAAGACCAGTACAAGGGAGATGGTATCGCTGCCCGCGGGCCAGCCTTGGCAATACCCACCGTGCGTGTTGACGGGAATGACCTGGTTGCTGTGTACATCGCGACCGAGGCAGCACGGAAGAAATGCGTGGAAGAGAAAACACCAATCCTACTGGAGCTCATGACCTACCGGGTAGGTGACCACACAACATCTGATGATTCTTCGGCATACCGGAAAGAGGATAAAGAAGAAGTCAAAAAGTTGCAGGGCGTTGGCCCACTTCCCCGTTGGAAGAAGTTTCTGGAATCCAAGGGTCTATGGGATGACGAGAAGTCGAAAGAAGTCGAAGCAGCAGCACGAGATGAAATGATCCAGGCGATGAAGGCAGGCGAAACAAAGAAGAAGCCGCCGCTCCGCGAGTTGTTCACCGACGTCTTCAGTGATTTGCCCTGGCACTTGGAAGAACAAGCAGCTTATGCTGAGAAGCACTGTCGCGAGTACAGCAGCGAATACAACATGAAGAGTGTCCGAGGCCTCGATGGCCCTGCACCCACCGTTGATCCCAAACGGATTGCCTCTGCCCCCAGGGTACTGCCTCCTGCTCCTCGGGGGGAAGTCAAGGAGACAACCATGGTCCAGGCCATTAACGATGCTTTGTCCATCGCTCTGAGCTCAGACAACAGGTCGGTCCTCTTTGGTGAAGATGTGGCCTTCGGAGGGGTCTTCCGGGCCTCCGTTGGTCTCAGAGACAAGTTTGGAGAAGACCGAGTCCTAAACGCTCCAGTGGCAGAACAAGCTATTGCGGCCTTCGCCGTAGGTTTGTCCGTAGCAGGGTACAAGGCCATCGCAGAGATTCAGTTTGCCGACTACATCTTCCCTGCCTTCGACCAGATTGTGAATGAAATAGCGAAGTGGGGCCCCAAGCCTCGGAAGCTGCCTCATGTTGTCCATGGAAGCGATAGTTTGAACTGAAGAGGGCGAAAGCCAGCGTAGCAGGCCCTACACGGAGCCGTGCGCTAGCTCAGGTATCGGTATCGCAATGCCGGCGGCGGCGCCGGAAATATTACCATTCGGGCCCCGTGCTCCGCAGTGGGGCATGGAAGCATGTACCACAGCCAAAGTGCGGGATTCTCAGCCAGGGATGTAACAGGATTCCCGGATGCGTTCGATGACAAAACCTGACTCAGGTAGAGTCCTACTTTGCCCACTGTCCGGGCTTGAAGATTGTCATTCCCAGAGGGCCGAAGCAGGCCAAGGGGCTGCTGCTTGCGGCCATTCGAGACCCGGATCCGGATGCTTGCCTCAACTGCTTCACTGCTTGCACTGTGGTATGTGGTAGAGTATACGTAGGATTTGGGGTTCAGGGTGTTGTACAGCTGTAGAGGGGTTACGGTTAGAGTATACGTAGGATTTGAGGTTAAGTGTGTTGTACAGCTATAGGCTGTAGAGGTTATACTAGTACTTCTGTTTTCCTTTCGCCCCTCGAGCCCTCACGTCTCGGATCTAGGTCTTATTCTTCGAGCCGAAGGTCCTGTACCGAGCACGGATTCAAGGAGACCACGTTTCAATTTACAAGATTGATTGAAGTTGCATCAGCCGTCAACACAATCCGTGCAGAGAGAATCCCAGTGGCACCGTCAGTCTCGTCCAAGAAGCCCACGTTCGATCAAAAGGAAAGGAGAGGGGTTAGCGGTGACAGCAAGGAATCGTCAAGCCAGCGTTTCCCTGCCTGCCTACCCACCCACCCGCCCAACCTGGCTGTCTGTCTGTAGCAGCTTTAAGCATAGTTACAAGTACAAGTACAAGCACAAGTACAAGTATAAGTCTGTGTATGTGTATATGCATATGTGTACGTGTAAGTGTACGTGTCCGTATGTGTGCATGTGTATGTATGTAAGTACATATGTACTTGTATGTACATGTGTATAGATAACTCAAGAGATAAACTATGCCAGCGAGAAAAACCAAATTGTGAAAGAGCACCACGACGACCATGATGACCGCCACGACGACCACTACAAACACCACGACCACCAGGAGACCAGCAGCAAATGTGCAAGCCGATGCATTGCCATCCCATAAGGAAGAAACATCCCATGTCGTCGTAGTGCAGAAACAGTCCTGCGGAATTGTGATGATTCGGAAAAGAAGCATGCTACAAAAGATCAGGTCGCAACATATGAATTCTTTGAGTTCTGGGAGCAGCTGCAGAAGACGAAGAACGCGAACAGCATCTGAGCGTTACGGCGGGCAGCCGCTGCGAGATACATTACTGTAAACACCCTTTCTCCAAGCCAGTCCGACCCGGTGAATCCCGACTGGAGAGAGCATCAGAGTAAATACCGACACGGGAGCTTCCACGTGCTGAGGATTTCTTTGACAGTCAACACGGGTGCTGTCCAAAGTTTCGGCAGGCACAATGCGTGATTCGATAACATGAATGACATGTTGAAGAGCATTGCCAAGATCATGCTGCAGCATCCGTGGTGAAATCCAACCAGGGGCGATGAGCGCCAGGAAGAACCACGAGCTTGACACGGTCGATGGGACTTGATCACTAGGAGACCAGGAAACCACCAGGAGACCTTCCCGAGTCTGGCGTGCTTTTCTCGCAGGATATAGAAGAGCTATACAGAAGGACACCCCAAATCCTTTCCCCTGCTATCCCCTGCTGCGATTCAAGTCTCGAAGCCGAAAAATGGTCCATTTGTACTGAATCCAAATAACAGGATGCCGACGAAAACTATGCACCGCAGACCAAACATGCACCGCATCCAGGAAAAGATAGGACACGGGAGCCATATTGGTGCGTATGCAGCGGCGTCACCATGATCAATTCTCTTTGCCCCTGAACGTAATTACCCCTTCGTGTTACCACACTGTTTGGGCAACGATCAAATCAAGGAAACTAGTCTATGTACATGCATATGTACATCTGTTCTTATTATGTTTTTGCATACCCGTGCTCGTCGTTTCGATGAAAGTGCATTTCCATTAGTGGTACGGGAGCGCTTGGATGTTGCCTTGCCCCTCGAGGACCCGACGGCCAGGTGCCCGTCGAAGACTACGAGCTTCCCATTGGACAGGCCGAAATTGTGCAAGAAGGAACTGATGACTCCTGGCCGCAATTGCTACAATGCTTGAGTTCCCAATCCTCAGCCAAGCTCTTGGCTGTCTGGTTTTTCAGCTGCGGCCAGCTTTTCCAGGTGACTCTTCTTGGATGGGGGTCACAGATTGGTCGGCTGCAGGCGGTGTCACATGAGTGCGTGTTTGTAAAATCACAGGGAGGGCAGGGAGGGCGCTCTTGACCACGGTTGCATCGCAGGCCGCGGCTGCTAAGGCAGCGGAAGAAGGCATTTCCTGCGAGGCGTCTGGGCTTCGCATATCGGTTTAGGGTTCGAGGCATTCGAGTTTTTGGACTCAGGGTACGTAACGTTTGTTGGGTTTGGGAGAGCTTTGTGCCGAGATGCTCAATGTTGTGGCTTCGCTTTGAGGTCATTGACCTGCAGACGATCATTCCATGGGATGCAGATACTGTGCAGGCCGTGGATGCCGTGCTTAAATGGTGCAAATGACGCGTCTACACATATTTACACTGTGGCAGAACCCCCTGCAACATACCTCGAAGTCAACACTGGAATTCGGCGCGCCAAGCAGTGATCCTGGCAAGACCGTCCGCTGGGCGTGACACAGGGAAAGCATGCCGAGGGCATGATGGCAGCTTTGGGGCGCAGGAAATGAGCCGTTACAGCTCGCAGCCTCCGAGAACAGTGGATCTCGGTCGCACTGTTAAGCAGCCACAGCTGTTGCCTGCCAGGCCTCCGTTGAGAAGACGGGGCGTTTGATAATCGCCCACGAGGCGGCTTGGCGACGGGTGTCAGGAACCTGCTCGGGTGCCTTGAGAATCCTGGACCAAGGCCCCCCAAACAAATGGTTTCGGTGCAGAGATTGCTGCCAAAATCCAGGAGGGTCGAATCCAGCTGCCGGGTTGCTTGCGGGCGAAGCTGTTAGCGAACACCGACCAGGAGCGCTGCTTTCTTCACCTAGAAAGCCCAATCCAGAGAGTTTGCGGTCGGGAGCCTAGTCTTCCAATTGCAAGGCGTGCCAGCAAACCTCTGATGCTGAGACTGGCCGTCTGCCATGGCTCGAACCAACGAACTGCAGGTTTTGACACACACTTCCCCTATGCCTGGGAGGCAGCGATGCCATGGTTTTCGCAAGCTACTGATTGGGTTTGCGCTCGCGTTTCCGACAATGCTAGCATTAACCACCCCCTGATATGCTTGTTCAGTACACATGCACAGCAATCACAGCATTCTCTGTTGCCAACTGTCAGGAATTTTACGTACCTTCTGCTTCGAGGGTCCTGGCTGCCATTAAGGCCGGCTTGAGATGCTGGCTGTAGCATGAAGAGTGCATTGCTCATGTTGGAAGCCGGTCCTCGAAACGGACAGCGCGCATACGCAGTTCTGGAAGGCCAGCGTTTCCTTCTGAAGCGCCAATCCTCTTCAATTCTTCGACTTCACGGTCTGAGTCTCAGCTTTGCGCGTCTGAACTCCGGTGTCTTCGGGGGCTCGCTCCCCAGACCAAGGTGGGAAACCACCGCCGCCTGGCATCCTGCTCCATGATCTCCAGAGACAAAGACAGGAGCAAGAAAAGGGGCTGAGCCTTGCAAGACTTGGCTGCTTGGGAACTCATTGCTTTCTGCTTCTTAGCATCGTCTGCTTCTCTTCCGAAGTTTGGCTTGCACCGAGACGGTCCAATTACATAGCTCCTTCCCTCTGACAAAACAGAAGCCATGTACCAACAGTCGGCGCTGCTGCTTGGCTGCAGGGGGCCTTAGCCTGGCAGCATACGGGAGGGCAGAGTTCAATGATAGAGTAGAATAGAGCAGAATATGACGTAGATTCATTAAATTTACTAGAATATGATATAGATTCATATTAAATTTACTATATATACTACAATAGGCATTGTTTGATTCTCGTCTCTGTCGAAATCTCTTCGCTGCAAGGATGCTGGACAACCCGGCCACCCGAGCCGCGATGATTTCCTTGGAGCCTCCAAAGCCCGACACGTTCAATCGCAACTCGGAAACGCACCGGTTTAGGGTTTAGGGTTTAGGGTTTCAGGGTTTCGGGGTTTAGGGTTTTAGGGTTTTGGGTTTTGGGGTTTAGGGTTTTGGGTTTTGACCAATTTCATTACTGGCTTCACGGTTCGGGTACAGAGTGTCTGCTGCGGCTGCCTGCAGGCAAGTGCAAGATCATCTGCACAATGGGACCCTGCTGCTGGGACGTGGACATGCTCACCAAGCTCATCGAGCCTTGCTTGCAATGCTTGCTCTGCCTCCCTGGGCTTTGACAACCTCTCCGTCCCCTCTGATCAAGCCCCTGGAGCTGTTGCTTCTAGTGTTAGCAAGATGTGCACGAGAGACCGAAGAGCAAGTCTCCGAGGATCAGGGCATGAATATTGCTCGCCTCAACTTCTCCCATGGAGACCACGAGGCAAACTCCGTGCTTTGGAGCCTCCGTGAACGTGACCTCATAGTCATCATAGCAGCCATGTGCCCCTTGAGGCCCACGGCAAGACTGTCGGCCGAGTCCGCGAGGCACCAGAACAGGGTCCATCCTCGGATTGAAATTATTATATAGAATATAGTAAAGTATAGTTGATACTATGTTATGCTCGAGTATTGTATACAATGCTATGCAATACTATACTATACAATGCAATCGTATACCATACTATCCGTATTATATGGGGCCTGCACTCCCAAAGGCTTCAAAGCTGCGTCCAGACAAGCCGGTGGGAATCCTGCTGGACACAAAGGCCAATGTCACGCTTGTCCTGTACACTGGGGTGGTCCTAACAGCCGCCTGGAACGGCCATGTCTGGGAATCTGTCTCTGTGACATGCCAGGGACCCGAGATCCGCACAGGCTTCTTCAAGGACTGAGAAGCGGCAATCTGGCATCAGTTGCATTGGGGGGCGATCCTTGATAGAAGAACTTCCAGCTCCGTCTTTGGTGCAGGAGGAGCTTGCAGGTGGGAAGATCAACCTGAAGGAAGGCCAGGACCTGAAGTTGGTGACAGACTACAGCTTCAAGGCCGGAAGGTCAAGAGGAATCAAAGACGCCGACCCGAATTCGCACATATCTAAAGCGGTCCAGCCTTTGCAGCGGCACTGTAGCTAAAACTATTCATCAAGTGAGAAGTGTTTTTCTATAACTTCTCTGAGTTGGATGTGTAGTGCGAGCGAATCACGGCAGGCAGGTGTATCTCCTTTCCGGTGTTTTTTGGGGCATAGGGAAGAGGAAAGTTGCAAGCACCAAGCCTCTGGGAATAACTTTGTTTCTGTTCGAAACAAGATGAATGAGACTCAAGAAGATATGAACACAGATTTTGAAGCGTTATACGCCGCATACGCGGCACTCCTCCTTTTGCGCCGTCAGCACATGAAAGGCAACAATTAACATTACCTACAACTTCTGCTTACTTGCTCGAGTCCATGCGTGACATCATGCCATCAGGGAGACGACAAAACACTTGCGGTGTCGTATGCGACACTGCCTACGGCCGTGAAGCCAGGCAGGGCATGTGGTCGGACTGTGCACAAGGGGTCAACAGGTGCCTGTCGGCAGCGAGTGCATGTGGGAAAGCAGGTCAGATCATCCTCGCAGCGGATGGATCGCTCTCCTTGAGAGTCAAGAGCTGTGGAAGTGACCACGTCATCACCGAGGTGCAGCCAGATCGAGTTTGCACCAAAGCCAGCGCCGTCATTGTAGAATGAGCACGCATCCAACACTGTCCCTCGTAGCACGTGGAATACCTTTCTGCGCGGCCTGCTAGGTGTTGAACGACATCGCCATCGGCGAGAAGAAGAACATGAATCTTCCGGGGGTGAAAGTTGAGCTGCCGGTGCTTCAGGCCACACTGCAATCAAGTCCCTTGATATTGCGATGTCTCTCTCTCTCTCTCTCAATCTGGCCTTCGAAGGAGAAGGACAAGAAGGACCTCCTCGAGTTCGGCATTCCTCAGGCGGCTGGGGGAAGTCGTGTCTGCATTGACTGCCCTTTGGCTCCGTCGAGCATGTCAGGGCGTGGACTTCATCGCCGCCAGCTTCGTTCAGGCATCTGCATCTAGTTTTGCGGTGCCAGGTGCACTGCATGAGGGGCAGGGAGAATTGAATGCCGGGATCTTCGCAAGCCAATCCACACTGCAGTTAAGCCACGTGGTCTGATGTGACGTGATGTGATGGGCCAGCTTACACGCGCGAGAGCTGACGAAGATTGCTCAGGATGCAGCAGACGTGAAGCTCATTCGAGACACACTGGGAATGCGGGGTCGTACCATCAAGATCATCTCGATTCTCGTCTTGTTGCTTTTCACAATCCAACTCGTTCAATCATGCCGAGACACTACTTGCCCTGTGTGACTGTGCTCAGGAAGATCGAGAACCAAGAAGGCATCAACAACATCGATGAGATTGTCAAAGCGACTGATGGAGTCATGGTTGCCCGCCATTGTCTCGGCAACGGGCAAGGGCTTCGCCTGGTCGGCAGGTTTGTATGATCTTGTTCTCTGGCTCAGGTGGCGATATGGGTATGGAGATTGACATCGAAAAAGTTGGCCTGGTGCAGAAGCTCTGCTGGCACAGCGCAATACAGTGCAGCTTCAATGCTGTCCGGGTGGAGAGAGAGAGAGAGGGAGAGAGAGAGAGAGAGAGAGAGAGAGGGGCGCACTGGCGCGCGGGTTAGGGGGGCAATCCCCTGGCCCATAACCCTGGCGAAAGAAAGAGAGAGCTGTCCCACAGGGGACATCGTTCATGCCGAACCCCTCATGTAGTCTCACACCAACAAACCGGACGGGGACTCAGGCGTAGCGCGAGAGCGCAGGGTGAGGGGTCTGAGGGCCCTTTACCAAAACATGTACTGGACTAGATCATTTGGAACGAATCGAAGTCTTTCAAACCATTCCCAGTGTACTAGCTGCCCTTCTCGCATCCTCCCGAAAGCCTCACAAATTGTGGGGGGCCAAATGGCCGGGGGGTTTAACAGACCCCTCATGNNCCTGGGGAAGAAGAAGAAGAGAGACACAGGGAGAGAGAGGGCATTTCTTTTCCGGTAGCCGAGCCCCTCGCAGTCAAACTGGGGCTGCCGTGGACCGCTGGTGCGCGCTCACGCACGAGGGGGGGGTGTCCGCCCCTTCCCTCTTGCCTGGTAGAGAGAGAGACTGAGAGAGAGAGAGAGAGAGAGAGAGAGAGAGAGCCGGGGGGTTCGCCCCCAAACCCCAAGCAAGCAAGAGAGAGAGAGGGAGAGCTGTGCTCGCTCTCTGGCTGTGTGGAAGAAGAGAGAGAGAGGGGGAGAGAGAGAGAGAGCCGCATCGCAGAGTTCCAGCCGTCCCGCTCACAAGACAGTCATCAATTACTGTAGCGGGGTTGCAGTGCCAGCAGTTTTCGTCGTGTTCAGGTCGTCGCGGGCAAGGGGGAAGCCTGCAAACCCATGCTGTTTCATGCAGCGCAGTCATATGATGTGCCTGTACAGAGCAGCAGCCGATCCCGAGCCACACGGTGCTTTTTGGTCCTAGGTGGGGTCCGGTGTGTGAAGCCTGGCCGTCCGACTCTGTCACACCGGTCCGTCAAATTAGTCGTTTGGCGGGTTGGGGGTTCTTGGTCTAGTGGCTACTACTTGGCTGTCCGGTGAGTGCTCTCTCGTGAGCCCAACGGCTTCAGTCCGCCCCTAATTTCCCAGTGCGCGGTTCTGCGCGGAGGGGGTGTAGTCGCTGACCCCTTTGGCTATGCTGAGAAAGAGAGGGACTGAGAGAGAGAGAGAGAGAGAGAGAGAGAGAAAGAGCGAGCTCTTGCACTGCTTGCACTTCATGCGCCAATCCAAAGCAGAGCAAAGAAAAGAAGAAAGAGCGAGAGCGAGAGACAGAGAGAGAGAGAGAGAGCAGAAGAAGAGAAAAAATATCAAGAGGATAGAGAGAGTGAGAGCGAGAGAGTGAGTTTGCTGAAGAATGAAGAGGACAGCCCTCTTTCTCTCTATCTCTCTCTCTCTGTAGATCCAATACCCCTCCCCTGATTTCACGCTTGTTTCCTGCCCGCCTTCACTGCCAAGGAAGATGATCATCGCGAAGTGCAACCTCATGGGCTCCACGGCCTTAATGTTGTGCATGTTTCAGTCTTTGGGGTCCACTCGTGTGGCCTTGTGGAGCCTCCCCCGTCAAGCTGTTGAAATTGGTACTGCTCCGACACGAGTGGCACGAGCTGCGTCGGTGCGGGAAGGCAAGTTCGCTGTCACCGCCACCCAGATGTTGGACTCGATGGAGCGCGCCCCGAGACCGACCCGTGCCGAGGCCACCGACGCAGCTCGGCAGCCTTGGTCAAACTCTGGCTGTCCATTTGCGAAAGTGCAGAATCGAAGGTCCTGAACGCCGTGCTGGACGGCACCGATGTTGTTATGCTGTCAGGAGAAACTGCGAACGGCAAGTTTCCAGAGGCGGCCGTGATGACAATGCGCAGAATCTGCGAGCAAGCAGAGGCAGTCATTGACTACGAGGCCTGGTGCAGTTGCTGGAGAGCAAGTCTAGCTGCTCGAAGTCTTCGTGAACTCTGCCTGTAAGAGGCCTTATACCTGCGAATGAGACTGGCAGTGTTGGAGACAGAGCATGCCATGTGCCCTGTGCTGGACCTACATCTTAAACTAATCCAGATTCGGCAGTTTTGGTTTTCTGGAGTCTGGCACTGGACATCTTGTTCTCGTGGACTTGATGGATGCCTGCATGTCCTCTTAGGTTGAGTCCGTTTGCTCTTCAGCGGTGAAGACGGTTGTGGATTCAGGATGCAGCTCTGCACGAATTGCTTGTCAGACGGCAGCTGCCCATGGCACTTACCTCGCAAGATCATCTCCGTGCTCTAGAGCACAGCTGCCGGGAGAAGGGCCAGAACGGAAATAAAAGTACTTCCAGCTCAAGTCTCTTCCAGTCTATTGAGGCAAGCTCATCATCTCCCTGACAGAGACGGGAAGCACCGCCCGAGTCATCTCCAAGTACCGCCCATCGGTTCCCATCCTTGCCCCTTGACGTATTACTGGAAGCGCTGTCTGCATGTTCCAGCCTGCAGCCCCATTTCGCTTCGTTGCGACTTGCACAGTGGCAGGCGATCACGGCCAGTGAGACCACTTTGCGTCAGCTTGTGGCGCACCGCGGAGCTCCTCGGCTGGGTTTTTTGCTGAAAGTCCTACGTGCTGAAAGGGGTCGACAACATCCGGGCTCATCCAAACCCTGTGAAAATCTTGGGGACTGGGGGGGGGCTAGGCTTCTGCAACTCCTCAGGCATCTGGGCTTAGAGCCGTGATGATCCCAGATTCGAGAAAGATCCACCCTGCCATGGATCAAAGCAGTTTGCTGCCTTCGCAATTGTTCAGGACAGGAGGAAAGGATGCAAAGGGGAACACGTGACGGTGGTGGGATGACAGGGGTGAGCTGGAGCGGGGAAGGTTCAGGGTGGGAAAGCAGTCCAATCCGATGCAAGGGGTCTGGCGCCAGTCCGCCCCTACAAGTGAAAGCGAAGAATGCATACAGAATCCACTATGTTTACTTCGCCTGCATGAGCACACATACGGCATGTGTGCATGTTTGCATCGATTGATGTGTGTGCGTGTGTGAGTCTATAAGGTATGTGTATGTATATATATATATATATATATACATATGTATATATGTGCCTAAACGGAGCAGAATGACCAGAGATTCGCCAGCCCACAACCACAGTGAGCATTTATTGAGGGTATGCCGTCGAGCGGCAACCCTAAACCCCCCCAGATAAGCGGAAAAGCAGAGTGGAAAGCATGTAGACATCCCGAGACCATAGGGAGTGTAAGTGTGCAGTGCATGGCCGATTCCGGCGAGTAGGAATGATTTAAGGTTTGGGGTTTAGCGAAGTGTCGCGAACCGAGTGATAGATTAAAAGCTCTTGCTTGATTGGCGGGGCAGGGTGTGGGTGTTAAAGTCAAACTGCGATTGAGCCCCTGTCTTAGTGCATTTTGATCCATTGGGAGTCCCGCGAGCTGCCTCTATTATTGTGAAACCCTAAGCCCAAATCCAAAACAGCAAAGCCCTTAGCCCTGAGGCCTCAAACCCAATGACTGCCGACAGGTGGTTCCAATCCTGACAGCTTCCTTCCAGGGAACAGACTCGGTGATCAACAAGGCTCTCGTGCGGGCCAAGGCAGGGGATCAGGGCTAACGGTAAGCGAAGCGAAGCCCAGCTCAAAACACCCGCTGTACCGAAACACATCAGGGGCTTGGTATGCAGTAAGACCAGTGAGAAAAGTTAGGCACAACAAGGACAGTAAGGTAGCGTTGGCCTATGTGCAACAGCAGTTGAGAGTTAAGAGAGTATTCACGAATTCATCCGTGATTACCCATTACGAAGGGGTCATCCTCATCGTCGTCGTCGATAGTCGTCGTAGCAGCACCGGCAGCGCAGCTGCAGCAGCAGCAGTAGAAGCAGCAAAAGCAGTAGCAAGCAGTAGTAGCGGCAGCAGCAGCCACAGTAGTAGTGTGGCAGTTACAGCAGCAGTGGCACTTCTAGTGGTAGTGGTCGCGGTAGTGGTGGCATCGGCGTTGGTGGTGGCGGTGGTGGCAGTTTATAGTGGTCCTCGTAGTAGTAGTCGTAGTAGGGTAGGAGTAGGGGAAGGAGGCGGGCTAGGGGTAGGAGTAGCAGTCGGAGTAGGAGTCGGAGTGGGAGCTGGGGTGGCAGCAGGAGTGGGAATAGGCATAGGCGCGGGCTTAGGAGTGGGAGTGGCAGTGACAGCAGCAGTAGCAGGCGCAGGAGCAGGAGGACCCTAAACTTAAACATGCTTCCATTTGCGCTGTAGGAGCTGGGCATGGTCAAGCCCGGAGACACGGTGGTGGCGATCCACGGTCAGCGGGAGGAGTGCCCAGGTCGGGGCCAAAAGATCTCAGGGTTGAACCCCCCCCCCCCTGTGTCCCACATACTTGTAGTCCTTAGAGCTGTGGCCCTTAGATACAGCTCAGCAGCAGTCTGCTTTAGTACATTGATATCACTGGGAATGCTCAAGAAGCATACCGCCAACAGCAGGAGAAATGGCATGATGCCATGAAGAGGATGACCTTGAATGTAGGAATTGGCGGGATTGCAGCACTTTGACATATGATACCAACGCCAGCAGGAGATGGTCGGGCAATACGCGTGCAAGCATGAGGTAAGTAGTAGCAACGATGGTGGTTGAGGAGGCAGGGTCGTGCCTGGGAATAGTTCTTGCTATGTTCTACGAGCTTCAAGACAATGAACGGCAACATAGACACCAGGCATAGGCAAAAGGTACAAGACCAGTGCACGCCACAAGACCTCCTTACAGGAATGAGAATCGTCGTTCTCGAACAAGCTGCTGAGTTGGTGTTTTGACATGACCTTGTACATGGCCAGTTTTTTGCGCGTCCCACGCCTGAATGACTGTGCTGCTAGCATCCCGCCCAAACATCAGGCGCAGAGCCCGACATGTTTGAAGGGGCCGTACTTTGCCATATTAACGGACTTATCAGTCATTGAAGGAAAGGCGGCAGCTTTTTCCATGTGGCCACCACGCCGAAAAGAATGAAAACAACGCTGCTGAAAATGCAGCGGTTTCATTCGCCTGAAGGTCAGTCCAACCTCATGAAGGTTGCCATGCGCTCAGATTCGTGCTGCCCTGTGAGGTTCGCCCCAGCTGCATGTGCCTGATGATGTCAGGTGGTGTGTCCTTGAGTGCTGAACCGGCTGTTACATAACTCAAAGCAGTCTGCATCCAAGCGGCAGGAGATGCGAATACTAGCTACAACCTACTCAGTTAACCACTGTTCTGTGAAAGCTTCTATTGGGGCAGATGAGAACCCCTGAACATCCTTGAACTCACTGCTGCACCATGCCCATCGATTAAGACAGACCGCCGAGTCAAAATCTCTTGAGTTCAGGCCGAGCCTGACTTTCCCGACCTTTCAAACCTTCTCCCCATCTCCCGTTTTCCGACTTGTGACAGGGTGCAAAATGCGACTCCAGTGCAGTGTGAGCTTTGTGGCGAAGATTTTGGGACGTGCGACCCACAAACAAGTGCAGATTTGCTCTGAGTATTCAAAACTAGACACAGGTTTTGATGAAGAAGCACGTCTCGTCACCGCCCACTTCTACAGAGTTATGCACCTCCAAGCCCCAGTGGCGATGGTGATGGAGAGCCATGGAGAAAGGACAGGCTGCTCTCTACTTCCAGTCCGTCTGACGGAGTGAAGATTTTTTGACTTGCCTCTGACTGAAAGAGATGCCGCAGCTCATCGTAGCTCGTAGCTCACAGAGGCACAAGCAAGAGAACGGCCCTTCGCATATGAAGTCGTAGCGGTTGCATACTGGCCGCTCAAAAAGCCGAAGTCGTTAAGATCCAAGAAGTAGGCCACAGCTGCTCCGCGAGTTTCATCTGCGATCAACTTGGAAACCTGTCGATTCTTCTGAACAGACCATTAAAGATCCATTTAAAGAGCATGCTGCGCTTGGCCAATCATCCGCCTCTCAGTGCAGCACCTTGGCATCACTGAGACTACAGTGCAGAAATGCCTTTTTTGGCTGCGGCTGCTGTAGTATTGTCGGAGTATGAATGGCACTTTTGTATCAGTCGCTGTCCCCAGGACCGATGCATGTGCTGTGCTTGCCGCTGCCACTGCAACCATTGCGTTTGAATGACGTCTAAATATAATATGCTATAATATACCATGACATACTAGAATATAATAGTATTATATACTATAACATACCATAATATATTATAAATATACTATAATGTACTATAATACACTACTAATATTTCTATAAACATACCATAACATACCGTAATATACCATAACATACTACAATATAAGATACTCTAATTTACTCTGATATACCATAAATATCCCATACTATACTATAGTATAAACTATACTACAAGATACTAAAAAAAATGTGAAGCGAGGTGGCTCCGGCTCCTTCTCGATGGGGACTTACCCGAAGGGCTCAGAAGCGAGGAGGCCGGCGGCTGCCCGTTGAATCGTATGGTATATTATAGTAATATTATAGTAATATTATAGTATGTTATAGTATGCTATAGTATGTTATAGTATGTTATAGTATATTATAGTATGTTATAGTATATTATAGTATATTATAGTATACTATAATATGTTATGGTATATTTGTTTGAATCTTCTCTCTGGCTCTTAGTAGGGAATGGGGGAATGGATCCCTATGATAGTCCCTTAAGGTCCCTTATAGTAGTCCCAATAACCCATTCCGCATTCCCTAGTAAGAACCAGTCAGTCTTGCAGCGTCGGGGCTCGAATCTTGCGTGTTATAGACTCGACTTGATGGCGGTTGTTACAAGTGTTACATGTCCAGGGAACGGTCTTGCAGCAGTGTGTTTCCCTCCCGGATTTCTGATTCCTTGCACTGCGCAAGTCGCTGCTTCTTTCGCCCTGGGAGGCATGTCTGGCACGACGTGTCTATCAATGGCAAGTGCAGAGCTGAGCAGAGCTGAGTTGCAGTCGGCGAAGATCGTCCTGTTTTAAGTCCGTGCCATGAAATCCCAAGGCTTTCTATCCGTGGGACATGCAGTGAAAATGCTGCTGCCTAGAAAGGCCCAGGAAGGTGCGAGAAGAGCACAGCGGAAGCTCGAAGTGCAGAATTTCGAGAACTTGCCGCCACTGTCTGTCCGCCCAGACCTATCCAAGAGAGACTTTGGCCTTCTGCCGCCCATGCCACCCCTTCTTCTGCGCTCTGAAAAGATCTCCTTGGTGGACTGTGGGAGTGGCTCTACCCGGGCGCTCTTCTTCCAAGACGATGGCAAGTCGCACGTTTCCTGGGAAAAGTCTTCTTGGAGAGGCCACCAGTGTGATCAGGATACCCATGCTGTGACGATGGTGCTGTTGATGAAGAGGATGATGATGGAGATGGTGATTGTGATAGGATGATGGTTATGGGTACGGCGTGGCTTGCATGGTGATAGTGTGCTGCGGCTGTCGCTGTTGGTTTTGCTGATGAGGTTGGGGAGTGTCACCAACGTGCTGATGCTGTTGCCGTCGTCGTGTTGTGGTTGTGGTCGTTGTTGTGGCCGTCGTTGTGGCTTTGGCTGTGGCTGTGGCTGTGGCTGTGGCTGTTGCTGTTGCTGTTGCTGTTGTTGCTGTTGCTGCTGTTGTTGTTGTTGTTGTCGTCGTCGTGGTCGTCGTCGTCGTCGATGGTGGTCGTGGTGCTGCTGTTGTTGATGTTGCTGCTGTGGTGCTGCTGCTGCTGCTGCTGGTGCTGCTGCTGTTGTTGCTGCTGCTGTTGGTCCTGTTGCTGTTCCTCTTGCTGTTGCTGTTGCTGTTGCTGTTGCTGTTGCTGCTGCTGCTGCTGCTGCTGCCGCTGCTAGTGTAACTGTCATGATGGTAAGTTGTATCGCGGTCGTGGCCACTTGCCGTGGTTGTCACGTGGTGGTGGTCGTCGTACTGCGGCATCAGAACAGCTTCCTGAAGATTCATTCACACAATTTGCAGTGTTATTCAGTTGGACCGTGCGCGCCCTGGCTCGGTCAGACTTTCGTTGAGATCTCATGCTGGTTGCCTTGTTTTGTCGCAGGTGAGGCACTTGCATCGGCATTGCAGGACGAGCTTCGCCTGGAGAATCTGCTGCGCTTGCTTGAACAGGAGATGTAGGGAAGCAAAATTCGTTGTTGTACGGGGAAATCGATGCTGCTGGAGGCGTGCCGTTTTGAGCGGAATCGAATCAAGCATCGGCTGTCCAGTGCGCATTTGTGAAAGATGGCTTCCAGCTTTGAGGTCTTTGTCAGCCTTCGGACGTTTTGATTCTGTTGTCAAGTGCGTGGATCTATCCATCTATCCATGTTTGATTATATTTACACATTTACACATACATCATGTGTGTACATGCCAGCCCCCCCAAAGCCAGCGCATCTTCAATGTGTTGCAACTTACACATTCAGACGTCTGCGTATTGATGTGCGTCAACCTGCCAAGCCATGAAAGCAGATAGCCTATTCTCTTTGCGTTGGAATAAGTGCGCGGAGGAGCTACCAGATGGTGTCGTTCTTCTTGGAGCAACTGCAGGTGTGCGTGAGGCTGTGCAGGATTGCTGTTGCGGGAAAAGTGGGGTTAGGATTTGTTGATTTGCAGGCTCCGGGAATTCAGGGAGTGCAACGTTTCCGGATTAGCAGGGGACACTGTGGCACCGCTGGAGGATGGCAGTCTCAACAACAGCAGCCTGCAGCATTTCCGAGATCGTGTACTGGATTGCCTGGGACCTCGTGCACAGTTCATGGTGCTGAGTGGGCAAGAGGAAGCATCCTTCCTGAAGATGGTAGAAGTCCTAGGGCCGAGTTGTAACCCGTGTGAACGGGAACTCCAGGAAGACTTAGTGCAACCCCTGGACAGCGAAGAATCGTCAAAATCGAAGGCTGCAGAACCAGAGCCGAGGCAAGAGCCGAGTGGGAAGCTTTGCAGCATTCCCTGGCTTTCACACCTGGCCTGCATAAGGGACTCTTTGCTGGAATGATGTCTGGAGGTGGGATGTCGTGCCAGTTGGCTGTGTGGCTTGGAGCACTTTTCAGTTCGCAGATGAAATATGTCAGACATGCAACACCCCGAGACCCCGAAGCGCCTGTAAACTAAGGCAGGGAGATGCTGATGTGGCCCTCTTCAGCTTCCGCAATGGGGTGCTTGCTCCAGGAGGCATTGCCGAAGCTGCCGGTAAGGACCTGCTCTTTGCCAGAGAACTCCCCGGCAAGCTCGAGGAGGTGAGAGCTCTGGCTAAGGAGCAGCTTGCAAAGCTGCCTCGTGCACTTGAGGGCTCCTTCGCTTTGGTTGAGTGGTTGGGCTTGTATGTGGCCGGCGAGTCCACTGAAAGAGATTTGCTCATGGGCCTTGGCTACAACCGCTGGTTGGCACACCAAGAGGTTCTTGAAGCCGTCAACCGCCACTTGGGCGAATTGAAGCGTCGTTTCTTGCACGATGATCATCCAAGATCGGAGCCCATCCCTCGGCGTGTGGCAATCTCTTGGACCTATGGCATTATCCTGCAGGAGATTCTAAAGCACTGTTTCGAGACGAGTGCTTCCTTTTATTGCCTCAAGGGCATCAACTGGAGCACTGGGCACTACTTACAACATCGTGAAGGGCTCCGGCAGGACCTTCTGCAGATCAGCTAGGTTACAGCCACTATGGAAGTGCGCTCCTTGGATTTAGGCTCCTTGGACATGGGCCCAGCCCAGCTGCCTCAGTTGAAAGCTGACGGCGAGTGGCTGGTCCCGTTTGATCCCGTTTCTTCAAGCACAGCAAGTGACAGATTCGCTTTCGAATCCATGTGCCTCCTTCTGTAGCGACCGAGTTGCTAGACAACATCCTCGCTAATCCTGACTATTTGTAAAGACGTCTTGAACAGGAGGCACGTGGCCGTGCGGAAGCAACCTGCCATTTTTTAACTCAGCACCTTGAGTCCCAGATGTGCGTACGCCCTGCAAGCGACTTCTGATAAGTTTTGACGCTTGCTCACGTGCGATTCGTTGATGTAGGATGCTCGCTGGGACGAGTCAAGGATGCTTGCAATCGAGCCTATCTTTGCGGTCTACATGCTGTTCATGTCCTCATTACGTTGTTTGTGCGAACAGATCTGCTAAACCGTTTGCACGGAAAGTCTTGTAGACAAGCAGAGCGTGGCGAGTTGCCCCGTATGACCAGATGAGCGTGCGGAGTTGCCACCCGAATCTGGCACCGAGAAGAACAGGGCTGCTCAGGTAGAAATGTATCGTGAAGGTTCTTGAATCTTGACATTCGGATTCACTGCTTCGCTGATCGTGTAGATCAAAGCAGCTACGCACAGCAGCTTGGCAGATAGTCTGCTGAGTTGGAGGCAAACTGAGCAACGTGGCAAGGGTTTTCGTGCGCCCTGTAAACTGGTGGCTGCGCAGCCCAGGCCCCAGCCTCACACCTCATAACTACCAATGCTATTTTGGGGTTCCTTAGTCTTTTTATTATAGTGCAATACACCCCGATAATCTAATTCTTAAGGCCCCTCGTGGTGGCTGCTGGGTCGCTGACTTGCCAAGGCTCTCGGAGACTTTGATGAATTTTCAATACTTCAGCGCAGCTGAGATGACAAAGAGCCGTTTCGCATGCGCTTTTTCCGGGGACGGCCGGTGATGCATGATAACACTGACATTACCGGACTTTGTGGATCTTTGTAGATCATCCTTGCAAGATGCTTCACCGATTGTCCTCATCCAGTTCTGTCTGCGAATCTTCGTTCGCAGAGCTAGCCGCAGATTCAAGAATTTAGCGGGGGGCATACTCGCCGGTCACTGCTGCCAAACTGAGATGACAGCGAAGCGACCGAGAAACTTCTCCCATAAGCTGACCAAAGTCGGGTCGATGCAGAGAATCTGCAAAACCAGTAGGCTAGGCTTCTCTAATCGGGGCTGGAAAATAGCGTTCGCTCTTTGACAGGCTACTGCATGCTGCATGTTGCGCGCGATGGTCGAGCTCCCCCCTTTCCGGAACGACTGTTCTGGTGGATGGGTCAGTCGGGACAGATTGGGGCACGATGGTTATCAAACTTCCGACGGTATTTGATCAAGCTTTCGCTTGTATTGCAGTGAAGTCATGACCGAACCAAGTCAGCTTGCACATTGAGACGTACACATGCCAGTTGAAAACCAGGAACTGCATGCACCCGAGTCCACCAACTAAGCCCGAGCTATCCCCAATAGACTGCGAACCACCCAAGTTTAGCACTCCGGCAGATAGCTTGCATCATGAACCACACAAGTCTAGAATCCCCTGCAGCCACAGCATTGCTAGATGGTGCTTGATTACTCCAAGTGGGACAAGCTGGAAACGTCGGATGACGAACCACCTGTTCAACCGCCACCAGCCAAGGTGGTACAGGCGGCCTGAGACCCTCTGCCTGTGTTTAGGGTGTGGGGTTTAGGGGTTTAGGGCCCTTCACAGGCTCCGAAGAAAGCTCCTGCGCCGAAGCGGAAACTGCAGCCGTGGGACTACCACCCTGCAAAGTCACTCCACAAGGATATCAGGGTTGCCCGCGGTGCAGGAATGAGTCAATGTCCGTGTCATACCCTTGTGAAATCCTGCCGCCTGCGAACATGGGAAAACCTGAGTGCGAAGCGAGAACATGTTTGCACTGTGTTTCGGATAAAGTTGGCAGTTCGAGTTGCCGTTTGGAGTTCATGGCTGTGTTGAGACAGTTTTTGGGTTGAAGTGTATGCTGAAAGCGATGATGAAAAGAGCATGAACCGAACTTGAAACATGCATGTGGAATCAAGTTTGACTGAAACTTGGAGAGACTCATCCCCAAACTTCAATCTCAACACTGCCTGGAAACTGGGTCCCGGAAAGGCCTGGGCAGAAATTCAGCCCCGAACTCAGTGCCAAAGCACATTTTTCCCGGGGACTGCCAAGGTATGGGACTGCAAGTGCAGTTTACGCACTGAAAACAGAAAACACAATTCGAACTCGCTCGCAACCACCGTTTGAATTCAGTCCCCGACACTTCGACCAAAACGGACTTCCAGGAACGGGTGCAGTTCAACGTAGTTCGAAATTGTTGATTCGATCCCCATTTCCGAAAAGGTTGCCTGATACCGCTCTCTCACGCTCCAAACACAGCGTTCAAACTCAGCCTGAACTCACGAACAGCTGCTCGTTCTGAAGCTTAAGAATGATGCGCAGGACTCAGGACACATGGCTGTCGCGGATGTTTCGAAGCATTCGAAGTGTCTTGTCGAACAGTGAGGTCGTGCCGTCAAACTTAGCAACCGGTGCACGCGGACAAGCTCTGCAAAAAAGTGCAGCTCAAGCACGGCTGAACTTTCTATGAGGGGCAGTGTTAACCCCGTATTGAGGTTCGTCTTGAGGTTCCCGCTCTTCATGGGGAGGTTCTTCAGGATCATCTGCATCGGCAAAGACATCAACAACGGGATGAGGTCCCCGGTTCCACTCGACCTCGTTTTGTGCAACTTCGTCCTTTGGAGCGAGTTGGGGTGTCGGCCGGGCTGCCGGTGGAGGACTCAAGAGAGATCAGGTGTTGTCCAGGTAGTTGGGCTCGTCGTGCGTAGCGGACTGAATCGTACTATTCTCGGTGGTCTCGTCGTAGGAAGGTGCCCCTCCTTCTGTTTGGCTGGGTTCTCCTGTTTCCTCTGGTCCCGAACTCTTCGGCACAGCTGGAGCAGCACGTGCTTGTACCGGGGTAAGTCCCCGGAGGAGGCGGTGTAGGCACCGTAGTGGAGGTGGCTGCACGCTTGAGTGGAGGCCTTACGTCTGGTTGATCTGGACAAGGGGGGGGAACGGTCCCCTAGATGCCATGGGCCTTCCCAGTGTGTCTTGCAAAGGCTCCATGAGGGGGGTCATCTGGCTCCATGTTGTCGCAGATTTGGGACTCCCTGGGTGTGCTCGTCGGTGTTGTTGTAGGTGCGGTCTTCCTCTTTTTCTTTTCTTCTTCATGGTAGTGGAAGCCGGGTCAGGACTGACCGGTCTCGTTCTTGTTGAAGAAAGGGCTCGAGTGGCAAAGTCGTCCCGAGCGAGGGACAGTTCATGGTCGCGCAGCACACGAAGGTATTCGGCGCGGCTGGGACGAGTCACCCGATACAGGACGCAGTTGTCGGCAGTAGTGAGGTGACCAGTGTGCCCTTCTCCTCCTTTACGACACTTTCGGCACACATCAAGGGTTTTTCCCGTTCCTGCCTCCTCTCCCGACATAGTGTGATGGTCTCACTCTCAGCATCCCTGCCACTATCACGATCGTGACGTAGGGCTCGGGGTCGTTCGAGGTACTCTCCCGGGAGAATCATCCCCAGGTCAAAGTAGTCGAGTAGGTTCGCTGATGCCGTAGGGCTCGTTGGAGACAAATTCCCTAAGCTGCACCGGAAAGTTGGGCACCCTCCGGGAACGCTGCACACCTATCTCCCCGGTTAGAGCGATGAGCAGGAGCTGCGCCGCTGAGGCAGGAAACAGGTCGAACATGCGCAGGTCATAGCATGCCGACCGTCAAACGGCTCCAGACTACTCTCAGGCAGATCAGGCCATCACAAAATATCACAAACTTGTGACTGCGAAGTACCACCCTTGTCGAATTACGAGGACTTGTTCGAGCCGGACAACTGGCAACGATGGATCCATCCATCCCTGCTCAAAGTGATCTCCGCCTGGCAGAAACAGAAGGAAACGGGTGATATGAGCTTCGCTTGTGCCCCGCTGCAAGCATGCATGTCGTGCTGCAACAAATCCGTGATCTTGTTGTCAGAACTGTCAGCTTAGTGCCATCGTTTACGTGTCAAAGCTTAGGTTCCCGTCCGACACGCATAATTAAGCATGTGCAAAGGTGTCGATCTGGAAAGTTTCGATGGATTTCGGGTCGAAGCACCGGGAATCTGAAGCTTCCCAGCGCTCTCCGATGAGTTTTGCGACATGCTCCTGGAGGCCGGGAAAGGGGCAAAACACGCCTTTGCCTAGCAAATGATCCGAACAGCCCAGGAAGTTCGACACTACCGTGAAAGTGGCCTTCCATCCCGTGCACCGAACAGCATGAACAACTATGGCTTGGTGCTGAATGAGATCCTTTGTGCTTGAGTTCAGTAAGATACAGATGGTGCACGGACTGCCCTTTAGCTTTGTGGTGTTGCAAGCCCGCTGAAGGATCGGCCTACGTGCCTCGTTCACTTCTGTGTTGAAGGAGGTCCTCCTTCCCATCGGGGCAAGGCAGACTAAGCAGCTGCTCCTGTGTTTCCCGCAACCCAGCGTTTCTCTAAGACAATCAGGCTTTTCGGCAGTGATGAAGATCGCGTGCAATGTGTGGGTGGTGTCGACGTGGAAACTGAAGATTGGGGTGGCTCCACCCTCGACGACCATCACAGTTTCATCGTCCAGTACCGTCCAACTGACGACAAGCGCTGCGCTTACCCTCGTGCAGACCCATTGGGGAGTCAATATCTCGATAGACGTTGTCATACATTGTCCGAGATTCCGGGACGTTGGCACATCACGCGGCAACTGAGGCACTTGGACATGCACATCGATGAGTGCGATGTAACGTTCAACTTTGGTGTCACATCACATGAAAACTTCGAGGGTAATGATCTGACTTTTTGCGGAATGTTTGACTCAGCGAGCCATCGCAAGCTGCATCACAGGCGACTTGGTTGAACTTATTCGGTGTTAAACCTGGCTGTCCTAGGCCCCGCAGCATTCTCATCTCGCTGGAGATAGTCAGATAGTCGATGGGTTGGACTGGGTTTGCGGAACACTTGTTACAAGAAGTCATGGTTGTCCTGCCTCTCCCGTCATTTGCACTCTTCGGCCATGCCTGGACAATTACATCCATGCTAACAGGAAGGCTACCGACATCAGGCAGTCGTTACTACGTAGAAAGGTTAACCATCGGTCAAGCCTTATGTAACTTAGATTTGAACGATGGCGAAGAGGTCATGTCGGGCCGCATGCCATAAGGGCAGATTGCACAAGGGCTCGCGCCTGATTCGATCCCTGTGCTTTTCAAAACCTTCTGTGCAGGTACAAGCACGTTCGCGGACGTTGCGTTGTGCACTCTGGGAAGCGACGTCATGGTGCCATGGACATCGAGAAGGTCGGTCAACAGCAAACAAAGTGCTCTCTGCCACATGTTCCTTTGTGAAGGTGTCTTGTTGCGGGCTCAACTGTGTACAGGGCGAGAGAGCCTCTCTGATCATGTGGACGAAGAGTCGGAGCTTTCGGCGAACAGAGGCGCATCGCATCCGAACCTTTCTCCCGAAGCCCTCTTAGCTCGAAAGTCTGAGGGCGCCGGCGTTTGATGGCATCTGCAGAGTGCACGATTCGAGCCGCAGTCACACGGAGCTGCCTTGCTTGGGTGCACTGGTGAGGCGTACCGGGAAAGGAATCGCAAAGGGCTCACATATGGTGAGGCAGACAATGTTTGCCTCAGCTACACGCATGATCCTGCGACCTGTCCGGACAAAGCAGATCTGCGACCCCAGACATATTCCAGCCAAGCGCAGCTCAGGACTACAAGAAGCTCATGCCAAAAAAGTTCCAGTACCACATGAAGCCGGGATTTGTGCGTGTCTCTTTCAGTTTCTGGTCCCTTTTGAAGAAGTCATTATTTGCCACGTGTGAATGTACCGCTGTCTAGGCAGGAAGCACAAGATGCAGCTGAAAGGAGTGTGAAGACAGATGCTTTCTGGCAAAAAGCATACAGAGCCTTAAACCAGGGCAGCTCCTGCTGATTTTGTCTGTATTCACTGCTCGTTTCATTCTGTGCATTGTCGTGACGTTAAGGAGAAGAGATGGATCCGTGTATGTACATCAGAAGACTTGGTGGAAGGTACATCGAAGATGATCGAGCTGGAGCAAGAGATGCCCAGCTGCATGCTGAATTTGCTGGGCAGTTTCGCGGTCCTGCGGATCTTAGATTATCTCTAGCAGGATGATAGCCACGTTTTGGCCTTTGCTCTTGCACCGTTTATGTGCAATTCGAAGGAAGGAGCTGTCCCGAGTTCATCCTTGAATGTAGTTCGCGTTTGTTGCTGGTGGTGAAAGAAGCAGCAAGCTGCAGGAATGAGCAGGTGGCCGTCTTCCGACACAGAGGTGAGCTCTTTGCTTTGGTGCCTTGCATGCGTCAGGTTGTGTTGCTGGGAGGGCTGCAAGCCCACTGTGCATTGGATTCCGTTGATCCTCACCACAAGTTGCGTTCTATCCAAGGACAACCGCTGTGCCCACATGGGTGGTTCGTTATGCGAAGGTGAGATTGAAGACATCGGCACCACTGGCCTAGGCAGACCGGCAACTTGTGACTCCCAATTGACGGCTAGAAAGTCGCCGGCAGGTGCCAGCGACTCCAAAGCCACAGATGGCATGGTCATTTGTCCTAGACACTATATGCGTCGCCGGCCCTGTTGCTCAGACGAGGACTTGGTTTCCGTTATGTCCTGTGGAGCCAAGACCTGCCATGCATTCATAGGAAGACAGACGTAACTCACAGCAGGAAATGCTAGTGACTCGTTCAGTAGTTTCGTTTACCTGTTCGAGCTAGCGTACAGGGTTTTGAAGTTCGAGTTGTTGGACGAAAGGCAGATCTCTCGGCAGCGACTGTAGGCCACGTATACGAAGCTTTATGAACTGCACTGTCTTTGGCGGTTTTGACACCGCCGAGAGGGGTGGGTGTGCGTGTTGTGTGTGTGCGTGAGGGTCAGCGCGTCAGCCAGGTGCTTCAACCTCCGCACCGGGGCAAATGTTGAGGGTGATCCCATGAGCCAGAAGGCGAGCATGTGCACCGACCCCTCAGAGTACGCAAGAGCCATGCATAGCCTTTCGAGGTTTATCCTGTTCGTCTGTCGGCAGATGGAAAGGATGTGGAGGCACCGCAGATGGTCACAGCAGGTGAGACTCCAGCTTGCGACAGTCAACAGACTATTCAGGTGGAGGTGGAGATGGAAGTTGTTGTCCCACCTCTTTCTGCGCCTCGCTTGAGTTTAGCTTCACTTTCCATCACTTTCCATCAGGACGACGTAAATCAAGAGTTTCCCACTAGCAGAGGTCCCATCACGCCTCCCTGCACTTCTTCAGATGCTGGGCAGCTGGATTTTCAAGTTTCAGCAGGCCCCCCAAGTGTCTCGTAATGCTTTCTTGCGATCAGTCGCGATGGTGTCATGCAGCGAGTCCAGCAGGAACCAAAGTTTGCAGTTGCTGGGTTGGGTGTCTTGGCACAACATGTCTGCACATCAGTGCAGAGCAGCATCATCGATTGACTGAGGTTGCTTAACCTTCTTCATCGTCGCAGGCCTGCACTTACGCAGCACGTTCCGAGACGCGAAGACCAACCTGAGATAAAGATACGCGGAGCTTGTCAGCTTTGACTACTTCCGTTTCTCCCACGGCACCCCCCCAAGGGCAGCGTTCTATGAATCATGCTTGAAATAGTATTTGTACCGGCTATGAGCCGTACCTACTATCGCACAGGGTTGTCAACAAATACTGACTCGGCTTAAAATTTACGATTATTTTTGGAATATAATGAAAAATTATAATTAATTGAAGCTATCGACAAGATTATATAAAATAGCGATAAAGATTATTTTTATTTTTCGCACAATTTTTCATTAGGTAATCGATGAAACCTCTAATTACTATGCTTCTTATTTTTCATAAATTTTATCCAAAATAAAGATAAATTCTGTATTATTGGCTCGAAATAATATATTATTATTTTCTGATAGCATTTGAAGAAATTATGTAAGATTTATAATTCATACGCTAATTTTGATTCTTTAATAAGATTACTAATAAATATTTTTTAGACCAATTTTGATTTTTGGAACTGATGTTTAGAAAAAAATCACGATACGATTCGGAAATAAGATTTGGGATTTTAAAAAAAGAATTAGATTTATCTATACGCTTTTGATTAGATTTGTATTGAAGGTGATGTTTTGGAATTAAGTTTCGTTATAAAATTTTAATTATGTACGGTCGTGGATTTATAATGCGTATTTTATATTTAAATATGAGAATTCGAAAAATTTCCTGGGTATTTGATTTGTAAGAGATAATAATATTTATTTTAATTCGTATTAAAATATAATTAAGATTTTATTTATTAAAATTCCGGAAATTTGGATTCTTGATTCTTGATTTTATATTAATTAATATGATTCAAATTTATTCTTGATATTGGTTGAATTTTTATATATTTTCTCGTAATTATAAATTCTAATTTCCGGAATATAATATTAAATTTCATTTACTATAAATCTTAATTTTTTATTTTTAAATCGAGATTTCGTTTTTTTATCTATTTATTTCTAGATGTTTTTGCCGATAAAATAAAAAGAAAGAAATGGAATTTACTACACTCTTTATAATAGTATCGAAAAAGAGAGTTTATAGTAACTAGGACTCCTTTTTTTTTTTTTTTTTT